TTAAGATAACTAATGAAGTGAATGTTTACTACAAAATAAGATGTAAACTGAGTAGTTTGTTTGTTTGTTTTTTCACCCGAAATGTTTAATATATGTTCATCAAAAAATAAGGCGTTGTTAAGCTACCAAAAAAACATAATAGTTTAGAATAGTTAGTGTGCAGTAAAAGTTTTCCAATAAACTGTAGGGCTAAGTCACATTGAACGATTTGCACTATTAACTTCGAAAATGGAAAAAAAAATCAGTTTTATTATACTTAACATTGAAACTGTTGATTGCCTCAAGTAAAAAAAAACGTGCTATAGCTAAAATACACTTTATAAAATATAACTTAAACGAGGAAATATTTTTTTTAGTTGGTTCTTCATCATAGTTTTACACCGATATATATTAGACTGCCTATCGAATAAATGGTGATGAGTAAATTGACAATATGTACCTCAATACTTACCTTAAAGATCATAATTGGTCAATTAGCTGAAGTTATATTTTTAATGTTCTTAATACCGACCAGATGTTTAAAAATTTTGTAGTTCTCCAATTTATTTCGATTAATAATTTACTTTTATCTGAAGGGACTAATCAGATAGAAAATTTGGAGCTTTGAAAGATATCATAAATAACTGTTATTATTAAGTTTTTACTCAGTTGTTTACCTATTGAAATGCTTATATTTTTATAAAGTTGGAAAAGCAGGCAAAAGGTAAGCTTTATAAGATGTTGTCATTAAGATTATAAAATGTCTATGTTTAGCTGACTATTATGTTCAATAGATTTTGTCAATTTATTTCCCCAATACTATGGTTTAAAGTAAAATTTAATCTAAGATATGATGATATAGTTAGGCCTCTACACTCCAAACTTCCTAGAAGAAAAACTTATTTGAACTAGGGTAGTATTTTTAAAACAAACAGGTTTTTATTCGTTTTGAAGTAAATTTAAGTTTCTTATTTTATCTTTTCGACTTCATAGCTAATCTCAAGGCAAATAAATCCATTTATTAACCACTTTGTTTGTCATAAGTGACGGTGTTTTAGCACCTAGCGCAGTCTTCTATTTAGCCGAACTACCAGTCTAGGAATTTTATAGTAAACTTAGACTATGTAGATTAAAGTTTGACTTAAATGATCATTCCAATAAGGTAAACACATTGAATACATATAAATGAGTCATTCTTAAGAAGAGACATACTTGTGAAATAGGTCTTATCAAAATAATTATCATGTTTTCTTTAACTACTTTTCGACTAAAATTAAATGAATATTTTCGTCATGCTTATTTCCCTGTAGCCTATCCTTCTACTAAACAACCACTACTTTACTAGTCGTCTGTCACGCAAGATTTATAAAATCTCAAACTATGACTCTTAATAGACACATGAAACCTACCGTCATGCTAAAAGGTTTCCAGGCACATTTTTTAAACATGATATATGTAATTATTGTGAGCTTGCAACTCTGTAGTAATGAACCTTGAAGAACCTATTCCCTATTCATAAAAAAAAATAAAAAAAACCTATTTTTACAAACCAAAATTTTCATTTTCTAATCTTTTATGTAGGAAAATTGCATCTTTACAATGCTTGATGAAAATTGTTTTGGTGTATTTTAGTTATTTTTAGCACATAAAACGATGTTTCGTAACGAGTTAAGTAAACTAAAACATGGGAAAATAATTTAAACCACGCCCTAAATAGGAACTAAATCATGGCAACAATGCAATTACATATATTTGTACGGGTATGGTTTTAAATTTGGGTTTCAGAGTTCAGGTTTATTTTTTTCTTATTATAGAAACTACCGTCTTCCTTTTCACTTATTTCTTTACTCTTTGAATATTTTATAAACAAACTAACAACTAAATCTTACCAAGAGGGGCTTAGCTTTTTAATATCTGATTGAACTGTTGATCATATTGAGTATTTTTTTTGGTTAAAAACCGTTTGTTTTTCACGTCACTATAATAATTTATTGTAAAAGTACTAATTCCATGAGGAAATGTGAACACAGTTAATAAAAAGGTTATAATACTAGATTACGTAATATGAATAATAATAACAATAACAATAGATTTAGTGATTATAATAAGATGATTAAAATGATTAAAATGTTTTTGTTATAATAATAATTAAAGGTCATAGAGGTGTAAAAATAAATAAATATGGTGATATGATGAGTATTCACTAATAAAACAATCAGAATATAAGATATAAGTAAAGGGGAGAATGCAGTAATAATAATAATAATAATAATAATAATAATAATAATTGGATAATCAAAATACTTAAGGCCAAGGTAACGATAACGATAAAACGTATCTGCTCTTGTGGAGCAAAGTACATTGGCCGTAGCCAGGGCTCGCTTTCAACTCGGATACGGGAACATATCCCAGCTTAGTTCTATAAGAGTGAAAGGAAAGCAGTTACGAGTTCTATACTTGAACACCTAATCGACTATAATCATTCAACAGATCCACAAATTGACTTTAAGGTTGTTTATATGATTCGTTCAAATCTACCCAGATTTCTTCGTATCCAACTTTTAAAAATAGGCGAAGCTCTTACCATCCAGGAGCTTAAACCAGAACTATGCGTACAAAAGAAGTACGTCTTATCGTTATCGTTACCTTGGCCTTAAGTATTTTGATTATCCAATTATTATTATTATTATTATTATTATTATTATTATTATTATTATTATTATTATTATTATTATTATTATTATTATTACTGCATTCTCCCCTTTACTTATATCTTATATTCTGATTGTTTTATTCGTGAATACTCATCATATCACCATATTTATTTATTTTTACACCTCTATGACCTTTAATTATTATTATAACAAAAACATTTTAATCATCTTATTATAATCACTAAATCTATTGTTATTATTATTATTCATATTACGTAATCTAGTATTATAACCTTTTTATTAACTGTTCACATTTCCTCATGGAATTAGTACTTTTACAAAATCAAAAAAAACTTTTCATATATATACGATTGTACAGCTTGATAATAAATTCGTTGAAAAGAGATCCCTTCGCTGAAATTCATGTTTTAATTTTAATGAAGAGTTATTTAAACTACATTGAAATTATACAGCATTAATGTAAGGAAGACTCAACTGTGTTCCGTTTCATCATATAACTCTTATTTTCAGAATAAAACAACTTTCATAATTTTATGGTGTTTGAGACGTATAACCGGTTAAATGTTCTGACTGACATGCTTACTTAAACAAGCGCTTTCATTAATATTCATGAAAACAGGGTGATAATTTTCTATCATTTTTAAATTATTTGATATAAGTTGATTGATTTTAAGGAACTATTAAACCTCACTTCATGAGTATCGGCTGATACTTGGTGGTTTCCTTGCCGATAATAGCCTGTATTTTTTACTTGAACTGATAGAATTTAAGATTGATAAAAATTTAATATATGAACGTGACATTGTATGCCGTCAATGTTTTGTTTCAGTCTATCAGATGTCCTTAAGTTACACTAATCTACCAATAAGTGAATTCTTGAATTTACATCTACTGCAATAAATTCATTCACTATCTATTATCAGAAAACCGACAAATAAGTCAATTTACCGTAAATGTAGAAACGTCTTGCACGAACCATGATGAGCTTTTATAATAATTCTTTGTTGAAGCTTACCTACTTGTTTTGCACAAAATAGTTACATTAGAATATAAACAAAAGTGATCTATGAAATCGGACATTGTATTTTTCATAACATGCTAGTTACTCCTAAAACATATTGTAATTTACTGATCCCGACAATCAACCACAATGTCTTGGTTATTCAGTAGCTAAAGAATAGAAATTCCGACAGAAAACTTATTTATCGGAAGGAATCGAGTACACAATCATTGTAAAATAAGCGATTTTAGCTTACCAAATGAAAACGTTTCGAACAATCTCAAGTTGCTCAAATAGTTACATTAAGTACTAAATACAAAGTAGATACTTTATTTGAAAAGGCTATATTCCATGACTGCTTGTCGTTTATAAATCGAGTTATGTATTACGCTTGTGTGGATTTTTTGAAAAACTAAGTATCCAGATTACTGTTAGTTATTAGTTTGATAAAAGTTATTGCTATAAAATAGTTTTCATTGTTGCATTTCCTAAAAGCAGTCAGGTTAAAAAACCTTCTCTGTAACTTGACATTTGAATTCAACTAGAATTCTATATCTATAACCCACATCCGAAAAATTAATTTGGAAAAAATTTCAGAAAACAGTACTAGATAAAGCTTTAGGATGACACTCTATCATGACATACAGAAGCTTCCAACAATTTATTAGCCTATATATGAAGCTAAGAATCTATCTCCTTGAAGAAGGGTTCAAGTATTCTGTTTTCCTAAAATAGTCACAGGGACTTGTGTACTCAGAAAATTTTGCAGTGTCATCACGGTAAAACGTCCCATAATTTCGACCATCTTTAACCATACTGCTGTTTGCAGTTATTCTCTTCAGTTGCGTGATTTATAAAGAGCACAAAATTATTCCTAATGCTTATCAGTATATTTATGTGGATTTGTGAGATATTTAGTGTAAACATATAATTCGCTTCGCTTAAGATTATTCATTATCGCTTATTTCAAAATTTATCTGACTACAACAAATGGTATACAATGTCACAACAACATTTTACTCTTTCTCCCAATTTTAGTAAGACTTCATTGTCGAATTTCGTGTGGGTCTTTTTGGTAAGTTCTAACAAATATTCAATCAATTGTAATGAAGTAAAAGGCACATGTGAGTTAAAACATAAACTACTTACTGATTTGCCAGAAGTTATTTTCAATAATTCATAATGAAATAATTACTGACTACATAAGACAATAAAAATGAAAATATGTTGGTGGCCATAAGTAAACTGTATTCATCTATAATTTTAAATAAGCACTTTTTCGTATAACGTTATATATACAAATAAGAGATATAAATCAGGTGTCGCAGTGAAATATCAATACCTTCTTAACCAATAAATTCATCATTGCTATAACGATCATCGCGGTTGTCTTGTTTAAGTGTTTTCAGAACTTCTTCGAATGTATTACTACATGGTGCAGCTAAATCACATGCCCTTAAAGGAGATAAACATCTTTCAAATTCAATGGGTTCAATTATGATATCGTCCAGTAATGATGAACTTGAACGTTGATGATGCGAAGAATTTTGTGAATGACTGTCAACTAGATTGAATGATACGGAATGACGACGTGGTGAAACAGAAACCTCTGGTATAGACTCAGGTATATTAAGTGTATAAGGTAAAGATCCTCTGGAACCTTTCGATAAATATGGTTTTAAGTAATTAAATTTACTATTGAATGAATGAATCTTTTTATCAATATACATGTGAGATAAAAATGGAGGTGTATCATGTGAAGTCATCGAATCGTCTGATGAAATTTTACTATTGTCCATATTTACGTGTGAGGATACCAGAATGAAAGGCTTCTGAGATGAGATTTGCTTTAGTTCTTCCTTGTTTCTGTTCATAATTCGGTGACGTTTATCATAAAATAAACTTGTAACTGGAAGTATCTATTGGAAGGTATTATCGTTTAGTTAAATTACAGATTTCTTATGTGTTTCTTTTCATATTCAAACAGTACTACTATAATTTATGAGGGTTTAAAAAACTGCTTAGAAAATTCACAGCGAATGAAATTGGTAGAATTTTTCATATCAAATAGTTGATCTAACATCCGTAAATTACACACTCACAAGCATACAAACATTATAAGTTTTCTATTGTTTTAACTATGTAGTGATATCCAAGGTCATTTCAAGTTGCTATTCTTTTACTCAATATTAAAGTGATTGGTTAATTGTTGTTCTAGTTGTGTACCCTCCACTGATTATAAAAAACGATAAGCAACATATGAGTGTACTCCGATTTCTTACCAAATACCATAAAATACCTACATCCTTAATAAATTATATATATATATATATATATATATATATATATATATATATATATATATATATATATATTGCAGAACCAGAAAATACAACTGTGCAATTTACGAGGTTGCTAGGATGCAACATTTTATTCTAACAATAACCAAAGCTCTATATTTGTTGAGCTTTATTTAACAATTACAAATTGTTCAATAATTTACATAAGTTTTGAACTATTGTTTGAAGTTAAATAATTAATGTGAAAATACAATAATAGTAACGTAATTTCAATAAATACCACATTCAAAAAAGGCGAATTTTTGAGGCGTTAAGCTTACTTCTTTTTTTAACATAAAATTTCATATGATCTAGTCAAGGGACGCAAACAACTGTTGTGAACAACTGTTCAACATTTTTACAAGTCGTAACAATGTTTGGTGTTTATTTCTAAATCCTTAAATGGACGAAACATAACATTAGTAAACAAACCAAACCAATTTACATGTGTTGTGAATCATACTGAGATCAGATTGTTGTATAAAATGTTTCAAGCTCTCGATTAGCTTACTGGGATTTATTTTTTCAGCAATATATATTTAAAGATTTTTGGTGGTGTTATATTCTCCGACACTTCGCCTGGAGACCCTCCGGGGGCTACTACCGGCCCCAAGCCCGGATAAAGGAGGAGGGTTGGGCATGGGGTGAGCGACCCCATCCCGTAGAAATCTAACTTGCTAAAAAAAACGCTAACCAGAAAAAATTATTCAAATCTTTTAAACTCTGACCTGGGAGTCAGAAATTCCTCATTTAGAAGAACTATGACGCCTCATGATGAAAGCCGAGTTCCTTCGGAAGTTACAAGGCCGATGCCCCGTCTGACAACCAGAACAACCATTTACTTAGGTACATGGAATACTCGTACAATGTGGGAGATCGGGAGAGTCTTCCAAATTCCTGCAGAAATGAGGAGATACAAACTAGAGGTGCTTGGGATCAGTGAAACACATTGGACGCAAATTGGACAACAATGACTAACTTCAGGAGAGCTTCTGTTATACTCCAATCATGATGAAGAAAATGCCCCACATACACAAGGAGTTGCATTGATGCTGCCCAAACAAGCACAAAATGCACTTATAGGATGGGAGTCTCATGGACCAAGGATCATCAAAGCCTCGTTCAAAACAAAGAAAGAGGGCATTTCAATGAACATCATCCAATGCTATGCGCCTACCAACGACTACAATGAGGACGCTAAAGATTAATTTTACAATAGGCTTCAGTCAATCATCGAGAAGTGTCCAACAAAGGACCTGACCATTCTGATGGGAGATTTAAATGCCAAGGTTGGGAGGGACAACACTGGATATGAAGACATCATGGTACGACACGGACTGGGAGAAGGGAACGAAAATGGTGAGAGATTTGCAAACCTATGTGCCTTCAATAAACTGGTCATAGGCGGCACCATATTCCCACACAAACGCATACACAAAACCACATGGACTTCACCGGATCACACCACGCAAAACCAAATCGATCATATCTGCATCAACGAAAAGTTCAGGAGGACGATAAAGGACGTGAAAACCAAGAGATGATCTGATATAGCATCAGATCATCACTTGCTGGCCGCCAAGATGCAACCGAAACTCAAGAAGTACTGAACAACGTGGTGGACAATATTACAAAAGTTAAATACGGCTTTTCTTCGGCATACTGACTGACTCAACAAATTCAAGATAGCCCTCAGCAATAAGTTCCAGGCCTTTCATGATCTACTTAGTGGAGAAGGAACTACTGTGGAGAGCAACAGGAAGTGGATCAAAGAAGCAAACACTTCAACATGCCATGATGTTCTGGGTCACAAGAAGCACTACCACAAGGAATGAATCACTGTTAATACACTGGATAAGACTCAAGAAAGAGGAAAACGAAGGCAGCAATCAATACCAGTCGAACAAGAGCAGAAAAAACGAAGGCACAAGCTGAATACACAGAAGTAAACAAGCAAGTGAAGAGGAGCATCAGAACCGACAAACGTAAATATGTGGAAGATTTAGCAATGACGCTGGAAAAGGCCACAAGAGAAGGAAACATTAGACAAACGGATGACATAACACAGTAACTCTCTGGAAATCACCGTAAACCAGAACGACCAGTGAAAAGCAAGGAAGGCAAGGTAATGACCAACATTGAAGAACAACGAAACAGGTGGGTAGAACACTTCAAAGAACTCTTGAATCGACCAGCCCCACTGAACCCACCCAACATCGAAGCAGCACCCACGGACCTCCCGATCAATGTTGACCCACCAACAATTGAAGAAATCAGAATGGCCATCAGACAAATCAAGAGTGGCAAAGCAGCAGCACCAGACAACATTCCAGCAGAGGCACTGAAAGCAGACGTAGCGGCAACTGCAAGGATACTCCACATTCTCTTCAGCAAGATTTGGGATGAAGAACAAGTACCAACAGACTGGAAAGAAGGACTTCTGGTCAAAATACCAAAGAAATGCGATCTCAGCAAGTGTGATAAATACAGCGGCATCATGCTTCTCTCAATACAGGGAAACGTCTCCAACAGCATATTGTTAAACAGAATGAAGGATTGCGTAGACGCCCAACTTCGTGACCAACAGGCAGGATTCCGTAAGGATAGATCGTGTACAGATCAAATCATTGTGAAACAGTCAACTGAATAGAATTCATCACTCTACATCAACTTCATTGACTACGAAAAAGCATTTGATAGTGTGGACAGAACAACATTATGGAAGGTTCTTCGATACTACGGCGTGCCTCAGAAGATAATCAATATCATACGGAATTCCTATGATGGATTAAACTACAAAATTGTGCATGGAGGACAGGTCACAGAGTCATTCGAAGTAAAGACCGGTGTCAAACAAGGTTGCTTACTCTCACCCTTTCGCTTTCTCCTGGTGATCGATTGGATCATGAAGACGTCAATATCTGAAGGGAAGCACGGGATACAGTGGACAACTAGGATGCACTTGGGCAGCATCATTGATGAACATGGTGGATCTGATGCAGATGTAAAGGCGCGGATCGGCAAAGCAAGAGCAGCATATTTACAACTGAGGAACATCTGGAACTCAAAGCAACTGTCAACCAACACCAAGGTCAGAATTTTCAATACAAATGTCAAGACAGTTTTACTGTATGGGGCGGAAACCTGGAGAACTACGAAAGCCATCATCCAGAAGATACAGGTGTTTATTAACAGTTGTCTACGCAAAATACTTCAGATCCGTTAGCCAGACACTATTAGCAACAACCAACTGTGGGAAAGAACAAACCAGATCCCAGCGGAGGAAGAAATCAGGAAGAAGCGCTGGAAGTGGATAGGACACACATTGAGGAAAGCACCCAACTGCGTCACAAGACAAGCCATCGCATGGAATTCTCAAGGCCGATGGAAAAGAGGAAGACCAAAGAACACATTACGCCGAGAAATGGAGATAGACATGAGAAAAATGAACAAGAATTGGATGGAATCAGAAAGGAAGACCCAGGACAGAGTGGGTTGGAGAATGCTGGTCGGCGGCTTATACTCCATTATGAGTAACAGGAAAAAGTAAGTAAGTAAGTAAGTAAGTAAGTAAGTAAGTAAGTAAGTAAGTAAGTAAGTAAGTAAGTAAGTAAGTAAGTAAGTAAGTAAGTAAGTAAGTAAGTAAGTAAGTAAGTAAGTAAGTAAGTAAGTAAGTAAGTAAGTAAGTAAGTAAGTAAGTAAGTAAGTAAGTAAGTAAGTAAGTAAGTAAGTAAGTAAGTAAGTAAGTAAGTAAGTAAGTAAGTAAGTAAGTAAGTAAGTAAGTAAGTAAGTAAGTAAGTAAGTAAGTAAGTAAGTAAGTAAGTAAGTAAGTAAGTAAGTAAGTAAGTAAGTAAGTAAGTAAGTAAGTAAGTAAGTAAGTAAGTAAGTAAGTAAGTAAGTAAGTAAGTAAGTAAGTAAGTAAGTAAGTAAGTAAGTAAGTAAGTAAGTAAGTAAGTAAGTAAGTAAGTAAGTAAGTAAGTAAGTAAGTAAGTAAGTAAGTAAGTAAGTAAGTAAGTAAGTAAGTAAGTAAGTAAGTAAGTAAGTAAGTAAGTAAGTAAGTAAGTAAGTAAGTAAGTAAGTAAGTAAGTAAGTAAGTAAGTAAGTAAGTAAGTAAGTAAGTAAGTAAGTAAGTAAGTAAGTAAGTAAGTAAGTAAGTAAGTAAGTAAGTAAGTAAGTAAGTAAGTAAGTAAGTAAGTAAGTAAGTAAGTAAGTAAGTAAGTAAGTAAGTAAGTAAGTAAGTAAGTAAGTAAGTAAGTAAGTAAGTAAGTAAGTAAGTAAGTAAGTAAGTAAGTAAGTAAGTAAGTAAGTAAGTAAGTAAGTAAGTAAGTAAGTAAGTAAGTAAGTAAGTAAGTAAGTAAGTAAGTAAGTAAGTAAGTAAGTAAGTAAGTAAGTAAGTAAGTAAGTAAGTAAGTAAGTAAGTAAGTAAGTAAGTAAGTAAGTAAGTAAGTAAGTAAGTAAGT